ACTGGGCCTCAGAGCAGTTCTCTGCAGGTCTTGATCTCTGTAAATTGCAGGTCAGGAGACCTGGGCTCGAGCTTTGGCTTCATTATTAGTTGTCTTGCCTTTGACATGTCACTTAAAATACCAGGTCTCACTTTCCTCATCAGTAAAATGAAGAGTTAGATGAAGAGGACTCTTAAGTCCTTCCAGCATATATTTATGGTCAATGTTCTGTCCATTCTTCTTGGTAAGACTCTTAGCCCTTCCAGCATGTATTTATGGTCAATGTTCTGTCCATTCTTCTTGGTAAGACTCTTAGCAGATCCCTGTTTATTGTTGGTTGTTAAACAGCACTATTGTCCATTACTTAAAAATTGCTTGTCCTGGGACACCAATGGTTTTTGGTTCCGGAATTGGCTCCTGGTATAACTATTGTTGCCTTGCTTCCATGGGACAGGTTACCCAGACCAGAAGGTCAGGAACGTAAGGACTTGTGCTATTTATTCATGATCCCGGTTCTTTAGAAGGAAGGATCCGGTGGCAGAATTATGTTTTGATTTAGGCTGTTGTTGTAAGAAGAGCCTGTAACCAGTCTCACCCTTCAGCTGGCCTTTCTTACGTGGAAAGTTGAGGAGTGCTATTTGCCCGTACAGATACCACAAATCAGATGCCTTGCCTGGGCTCTGTCCAGGCTGCAGTGCTGCTTGGGAGCTGAGCCAGGGATGATTCAGGAGCATCATCCTGTCCTAACGGTGCCTCAGAATCCCAGCAGCGCCAGCGGGAAAGCAGCGTCGTACCAGCTCCAGTCACCGCAGTATTCAATGCAGACTTCTCAGGAAATGCATTTCATTCATTTAACAGATATTTACCAAATAGTTATTGCGTGATAATGACAGCACTGTTCTAGGCTCAGAGAAAATAGCAGTGACGTGAATAAATTTCTGTCAGAAGTCAGTAATATTCTAATGGGCAAGAGAAACGTGCAAAATATGAATAGTTAGGGGGTCAGTGCTGTGGAGAAGAATAGGGCGGGTGATGCGGTGGGGAGGGGCACGGCCTGTCTCAGGAGGTCGTGACACTGGAATAGCAGCTTAGAGGAGGGGGGTATCTGGGGAGTGGGGAGGCGGTGGGGGGCGTCTCCTTGGGGGGGGAGAGCTCGAGGGGGAGGAGGCCGTGGCGTCCGGTGGCAGCAGAGGGGAGGCCGGCTGTGCAGGGCCTGGGGTCAGGTGAGGACCTGCTTCTTTCCTGAGTGATGCACGCAGCCCTTGGAATGACACGATTTAGTTTTCACTTATGCTTCCCTTGGTTTGGCCTTGAGTTTCCCTGAGTGTGTATCCTCTTTAAGGGCTTTTCTTGACTTTAGATCTCTTGAACTCAAAGCTCTGGAATTGACCTCTGTCCCCCTAGCTTCCTGACACCAGGAAGGAGGCGGGCGTCGCCCTTTCCAGGAGGAGCCCCACGGCTTCTCCGGAGGTGGTCCTCAGCCTTCGGAAAGGGCCCCTGAGCCCTAATCTCCTCCGCACGCCATCCCCCTAGGCTGTCATCTGCCCGAGGACCCTTTTCCCCCTCTCTCCCTCTTCTCCCCACGGGGAGGTCCTAAGCACCCGGCTACACCCTGTGTGTGATCCCTGGTCCCCTCCCTCAGGTCTGCCACACCTGTGCCCGGTTTTCTCCCAGTGTTGCCCTTCCCTGACATATCAGACTCTAAATAGTGCGGGATGCGGTGGGCTGTGAATAAACGCACTGACTCCTGTAGCCCTGTCTCCCGTCCTCCACCCGCATCCCCTCGCCGTGATCCTGCACCTTGGCCTCCAGGGGGAGCTCGCCCCACCGTCCTGAGGCCTGGAGGATGGACGCCCTAGAATACTGGGGGAGCAGTGATGAAGGATGTGGGCAACTGAATGAGACATCACTCTTCAAATCCCATTTCCTCTGCATCCTAACTCTACAACACTGAGTGAACTGCTCAAGCTCCCTGAGCCTCATCTGTAAAATGAGGAGAAAAAGGTGTATGTGAGGAATAAATGAATCAGTGTGGGTGGAGCGGGCATTACGGCGTTACCAGTAAATGGAAGCCAGTTAGACAAGGTTTTCTTTTCTTTTTAATAAATTTATTTACTTATTTATGGCTGTGTTGGGTCTTCGTTGCTGCATGCGGGCTTTCTCTAGTTGCAGCGAGCGGGGGCTGCTCTTCATTGCGGTGCGCCGGCTGGCTCAGGGCTGGGCCAGGAGGAGGACAGTGGGAATGGGTGGTGTTTGCAAGACTCCCGGGGCCGGAAGACGCTCTTTTCTTCCTTGGGTTCACTGAACAGGGAAGATAGACCTAATGCACGTGTTTCCTCTTTTTTGCACGTGCATAGCTCATTTCTAGAGAGTCGCACAGAGGCAGTGAGTACTTAAGAATCACTTAAAATAGCCATAGTCTCTTATTTTCACGTATTGATCACGTAAATCAGGGTGGGATTGTCCCTCTCGTAACAGCAGCTGGGTTTCTCGGGGCAGGACTAGTTGCTTCCTCTCTTGTGCACCATGCATTCCTCCCTCAACCCACCACACGCTGGTTTCCTTTGTCACCGTTGCCCTGAATCTGCTGGTCAGGTCCCTGGGCCAGGAACCTGGAGCAGGCAGAGAGAAGCCAATGCTGAAGGGGCAGATTCAGAACCCACACAGGAATGTGGAGGCCCAGGATACAAGGAATGAGTTTGGACGGTTTTTAAACATATGAGCTATAAAGGTAAATGCAACTGCAGAAATAATTATTGAAACGTAAGTTACGTAACATAACTCACATAGAGAAGGACAATAATCAAAAGAAATCCTAAAAGAGTTTTTTTCTTTTAAAAAAGTCCAGCTTAAATGTGTTTACAGAAGTTAGGTAAAGCAAACCTGTTATGAAAGTAAAATGTAAATGTTTTTTAAAATCCACTTAGGAGGTGTTTAACAGATACACCTGAAACAAAATAATATAAAAGTGATAAAGATGGGCAAAATCTTATCAAACATAAACAGAAAATAACCAAATGGCATACAATTTAATTTTTAGTAAAAAGGAGAATTTGAGGCAAAATGCAATAAATGTGTCCAAAAGGTAAAATTTCTCTGTATTAAATAAAAAGTGCAGTTACTATTGAATATTACATATGCTTTTGTATGTTAAACATTATAAGGTCAACATGTGATGCAAAATACCCCAAGATCCTGCAGTTTTACTCCTGGATGCATTCCAACAGAAATGTATACTTCTGGTCCCTGCAAAAAACACGCTAGAATGTTTGTAACAGCACTTTCTGTGATAGCCCCCAAATTAAAACTCCTCAGATGACCATCACCAGTAGAAAGGATGAATAAATTGTGAGATGCCCCTGAATGGAGTACTATGCAGCAGTGAAAACGAACAACCCTCACACAGCAGTCTACAGAACCTCGAAGCCAGACTACTGAGCAAAAGCCCAGGACCACAGATGAGCACAGGCTGTGTGATTCCATTCATACAAGGAGAAAAGGGAATGGGCAGAGCTCATCTCAGAGGGCAGAAGCCAGAACAGGTGGCTCCCTTTGAGGAAAGTGGGGCCGTGACCAGACGGGGGCAGGATGGGGACGGGGTGTCCCATGTTCTGGTTACGTGGGAGAGTTTATGACAATTTCTCAATCTGTCCACTTGATTTGTATATTTTTTAAAAATATATTTTATTTTGGCAAAACATTTAAACGTGAACAAAAAAATTATCAGAAGTACTGGAAAACTGTACAGAAAATTTATTTTAGAGATTCCTGCATATTGCTTCAGGCTTTTTGCTTAAGTAAGAAATAAACAGATTTTTGAGTAATACAGCTATTTAGATTGAATTAATGCATATTGATATTACACCTTAAAACATATCTGTGTGTATGTATTGATATATACTTTAAATACTTTTTAACTGTTGATCCTGTGTTATACCAAGAAGAAATCTTAAAGTCTCCCAAATAGGAATTGTACGGACCATGTGATATTCTGAAACTACCATGTGGTAAACTGGAAATTATTATTAATATTTTAAACAACTTCAAAAATTAACCACTTGGGCTGTCACTTAAATATTTGGCCAGTGATTAAATCAAGATGACAATTACACATTATAATTGTTTTTTTAGAAAGTAAAAGTGAGAAAGATAAATATTTCCTAAAAGTTTGTCCAGATGTCTAAAGCTGTATTGAGGGACAGCAGTGGTAAATTCATAGCCTTAAATGCTTATATTATTTTTAAAGAAATAAAAATAATTATGTTTATAATTCAGTTTGGCAAGACAACTATAAAACAAACCTAAAGGAAATATGAGGAAAGAGGTGATAAGACTAAAAACAGCAAACGAAATAGTTAGGAAAGACAAAAGAAAACAATAGATCTGATGGGTGAGTCTGAGTACTCATTTCTTGAAAGGAAAAAGAAAACAACACAGTAATATAGACAGACCTCTAGCAAATGTAATTAGGAATAAAATAACACAAGCATAAAGAGAAACAAGAAACCCAATTAGACAGAAATTTTTAAACATAGCGTGCTTTATATCATGTTATACCAATATATATTTTAAAATTGCAATGATAAATAACAAACCTGGGAAATTGTAATTACAAACATTTAATTATGAGAATAAAACCCTAATCGATGCAGAATTATTGGAGGAGTTGGAAAGGTCATCAGTTCATGGTGTGAGGTCAGACAGTGATTGTGAGTTTTTTCAAGCATCTCAAGAGGCCTCCTGGGGGTGGCCTGGCTCTGCCCAGTGCTCAGACCCCCATTCGACCTCGGTTCACCTGCTTACCCTCATGGAGTGAATGCATGGACCAGTGAATGCGTGCACACGAGCATAGTGGGGGCGAAACAGCCCTCTCAGAGGTTATCACAGACTTACGTTCTTAATAGGGGCTATTGAATAGTGAGCATTCAATTAACAGTGGGTATTATTATTAGCAGATGTCTCATAGTATATGGCAATCAGAATATCAGTGAGTAATCATTTGATATTTATTTATTTTTCAGGTTATCCTGAGCCAGAAAAATTTTCCTGGACAGAATATCTGGAAGCTACTCGAACTAATGCAGTACCTGCCAAAGTTTTTAAAATGGTAAGTTTGGATCTGTAGCACTCCCAGCTTTTTTCAACAGTGTCCGTGTGGAATGGTGCCTTCATTTGGCAATTCAAAATCATTCTAGTTTTCTCCTTTTAAATTCAAGTGTTGTTTCCATGACCAATTTGCTTTGCTTTTCAGTTAAAAATACAAAGGAGGTGGCTCATTTACTGTTGTTCCTATACACCAGTGTAGGTGACGATTTCCCTCCTTGAAGTCCGGTTGGAAGCCCCCTCAGCCTCTGATGACTGAGCCCTTCCTTTCTGGGTCTGTTGGTCCTCTGAGTGGGAACCCTGAGCTTTCGGTCTCAGGGACTGTTTGACGGTCGAAGATGCTGGGATAAAATAGATGGAGTGTATGTAGCCCCTGTGTGTTACCCTTTCACCTATTTTGAGGGAACATTGCTTTCAGCAATTTGTCAGAATACCAACTTGTAAAGTTCAAATTTGTACGTACCCATTTATTCCAGGATTAAACCAAGTATAAAGAAAGTGTACTGATAGCATAGTTAGAGATACTTATGTTCTAAACCAGTGGTTTTCAAGCTCTGTTCTCTTTCAGCTATGTGTCCCTGACTCATCTTTAATCAGAATGTTATATAGTGAGCTTCTCCATGTGATTTCTTTTACTGAAAGTTTTCTAAAGATCAAAAGGGGTTTAAACAGAATGCTATTTCGTTTTTTAAAACAATTGATTAAAATAGGTCGAATTTGGAGGAAGAGGTATAATCAAATTAAGAGGGCTAGAAGTTCTGGCGTGCTAGAAAGCGTTTTAAGAATTGCAAAAATTCAATAAGCAAAAATACCAGCTGCTTGTAGTCTCACTTTCTCTCTTGCTTTATGTCAAAACTTCACTTTACTTTTCCAAGAAGAAAATTACAAGAAAATCGTATTATGAAAAGATTGAGTTAAAAAGGCAACCTCCAGCCTCTGTCACAGGGTTATTAAGAGTTCATCTCAAGCTGTATGTCTTTGGCATCTGCAATCTGAAACAATTAACCTTTGTTATCAGCATGGTGACCTCGGGGAGAAAAGAAATATGTTCAAGGATCAGAGACCTAATTATAGTCAGTATGCTCCATTTAGTAGACATAATAATGCATTTTAGAAACAAATATGCTTCCACAAAAGCTGGAGAGGAACAAACCAGGTATTGTAGAAAGATTTAACTGTTTTGTAAGTCAGCCATTATCAAAAGTTTTATTTTCCCACTGCCACTTTCTAGACTTGAGAAATTCAGTACCCTTTCATTTTCAAGAAAGTCAACTGAACACTTTTATGTGTAATAGCTTTCAAAGTGAAACTTTTTGCCATCCTTAAACACTGGCAGAGTTGTCTTTTGACTGATTTTTGGTAAATTTCCTCAGTTTCAATGATTTGGTAAAAGCCCCAGTGCATTTTTTCCCCACTCCATTTTCTTTAGTGTTTCCTGAGTGTCCATCGTTGTAGACTCCTGGTTCCCAGCATTTTAAGACTTAGAAGAAACCCTAAATTAATACAGTTTAACATGCTTATGTTAAAGATGAAGCACCAAAAGCACAGATTATGACTTTAAATTACATTGTGGTATGATTTTAAAACATTTAGCTGTTATAATTATGGCAGCTTTTATCTATTTTAAAATTTAAAGGATCATGTTTATCCTTTCTAATTATTTGTTAATTTTGCCTTCTGTGTCTTACACTCCAAAACTGGGCAGTGATAATAGTCAATGATTTCTTAATTTAAAAGGTTAATTTTAGAAAAAAAATAACATCTAAACCAATAGATAAATTATAATAAGATCCTTTTTTGAACTTGTGACCATTCATGAATTTATGATTTAATCTTTGTCTTTTAGCTATCTTGAACATTACCAAAATATTCTTTTTCCTCCTGCAGGTTTTTATGAAAGTGGATAAAATAATATGCATGAAGGTCTATGTGCTCTTAAAACTAAATTCCAGTTGTATTAAATATCTGATGTAAAGTTAGAACAGTCATATTTTAGAAAACGTTAGTAGCACGTCTGAATTATTGGATTTCGCATAACTTGTTGCTCTTGTAATGTTACAGCGGTTGCCCCATGGTTTTCTCCCGAATATGAAACTTGAAGTCGTGGATAAACGAAACCCCAGGTTAATTCGTGTTGCTACGATTATGGATGTTGATGACCAAAGAATAAAGGTACACGTTTGGATTAGTACGATATTGTATTGGCGTTTTCCCTACGTTTCCTGTGAGACTGGCTTCAGAGGCTCTGATTTCTTATCTCAGCAGGAGAATCGAACTGGCCTGACTTCACTGCTGGTCACGAGACTCTGGTAGAAGGTCCTCTAGCCAGTGTGTGTGGAAGGGGACTCTGTAGATTAGACACGACTGATTTTCAGAGGGTTCTTACACGTCCCTGTTTGGATTTGCTGCGTAGACGTTATACATTTTGTTCCTTTTTTTTAAAAAAAGCTTCTTTTTGTTGGTATTATCAGATTTTTCTTGAAACTGTTGTCATTAAACACCTTAACAAGAACGATTACCTCCTTGTTCTCTCCTATTCAAACAAAAGGTTAGATTTTGAAGTGAAAATTTGATTCATAGATTTCTTGTCCTTGTCCTTGCTGTGACATCTGTTTTTTTAAAAATATACACATTTTCAAAATTAAATTATCCTTAAGTGAAAGCCTTTCATTTTTTTCTACAGAAAGCTGAAAGCATCTGTGGAATTCAATAAATCTCCTACAGCATATGACAGTTCAAAAATTATTTTCCACCCAAGCACAGTTTATTTTCATATTAATAAAAAGATCGAAGCCAACGAATATTTATAGAAATTATTAAGAAAGATGTATTTAAGTTCGATATACGGTTTGATATAATTTAAAAGAAGTCTTATTTGCTATATGCCTAATTTGAAAACAACTTCTAATTCATCTCATAGAGAATAATCAGTACGTACATTTTAGTAAAACATAGAGATGTGTATTTGGCTTGGCCATGGATCATCAAAAGCATATATTGGCAATGTCCTTTATTTTTCTGACAAATGAAAACTGTGCTAAACGCTATTCAGGAATAATATGTTATAGGTATTTTTCTCCCACATACATTGTTACTAAGGTTTTATTTTAAATTTAATCATATTGCATAAATTCTTATTTGTAGCTTTTTCTTGTTTACTCTTTTTAAAATTTATTTATTTATTTATGGCTGCGTTGGGTCTTCGCTGCTGCGTGCGGGCTTTCTCTAGTTGCGGTGAGCAAAGGCTACTCTTCGTTGTGGTGTGCGGGCTTCTCACTGCGGTGGCTTCTCTTGTTGGGCAGCACAGGCTCTAGGCGCGTGGGCTTCAGTAGTTGTGGCATGCAGGCTTAGTTGCTCCGTGGCATGTGGGATCTTCCTGGACCAGAGCTCGAACCCGTGTCCCCTGCATTGGCAGGCGGATTCTTAACCACTTCACTACCAGGGAAGTCCCTTATTGTTGTTTACTCTTATAGCACTTACTGTGGGATTGATTTTTGGATATCATAATTACTTTATAAATTCAGTAATATTTCATTATTGAAAATGAACATCAGGTTTTTTTCTTTAAATTCTTATTTAACTGTCATTGTAAAGTTATTGCATTTATAGGAAAAGCTTAATCTTAATAGTACATAAAATGTTATTTAGAATTTTAATTGACAGATTATTTTCTTGTGGTTCCTAAGATACATACAATAGTATCCAATTTAACGTATTTGTCAGCTTACAGTGTGATCATACTGGATTAGTATTACCGTAAAATACCATTTGGAAACCTTTAGCTCCTAAAGTAAGTTTAGTATATTCCTTATTTACCATCTCAGCATTGGACTTTAAAAATCTCTTAAGATTTAGCTCATCCTTCCAAAGAAGTATTTCATGTCTCTTCTCCTTATTCTTTTTCTTTCATGGAAATTGCTTTGACCATTACTAGAAGAAAAAGAGTTGAAAAGTATTGGGTACTTTTCACAGGCTTAGAACCCGAAGTGTTACCTCTGTGGTTGTGGGCATAATGGAAACCCCTTTAGGATTTTAGGGCTAAATTAAGATGTGAAGTGGTGCTTTAGAAAATGTGCAATGCATTGCTTCCACACACCCTTCAGTCTGCCAGAATGTATCAGTCTTGGAATGACATAGGTGTCTCTGGGCTGTGGAAAACTTGCGGTCTCCCAGAGAGCCTCTGACCTCCTGCAACACCTACCACCATGGCCCCCACCCCTTCCCTCCCCAGGCAGGCCCTCAGCTGGGTAAATGCTTGTCCTGCCCCCTGAGGTGGAGGTGAGGGGATTGTCTGGGGGCTGGCGCAGATGTCTGAATGGAAACAACTTATAGAGAAGGTTCAGAAGCATGGCTTAAAGTTCCATTCATGGGTGTTCCCAGGGAATACAAGGTGTTGAAAATGAGTGTCAGGTTTTTCTCTGAATTCTTGTCTAAGTAGATTGAAGGTAGTGGTGGGGTTATCTTTGTCAGTTGAGAAAGCAGTTGACCCTTTCCTGGTCTCCTCTTGGCCGGGGACATCCCTTTGTTCCTTTATTAATGTGTTGGTTATATGGTTCCACAATTTCCTCTTTTAATGTCGGTATCCTTCAAGGACTGTTTTTATCGCTGGCATGTGATAGATGCTTAATGTATGTGTGAATGAGGGAAGGAGTGAAGGATGAGTGGCATGGAATGTACCTTGGCATCCTCCCATTTGAATGAGACAGTTGTGATAGTCACAAAGCACTCTTCCCTCATGCTCAGCTGCTCTCCTGACTCCTCTTCCCTTGGAAATCTAACTCAGCCTACTGCACAGGAAAGTGCCATAGGTTACACTGGTCAGGTTTGATTCCAGCTCTGACCGTGTTGGTAACTTGGTAGTTACTCAACTTATTTACACTTTCCTCATCTGGAGAGCGACGTGGTTCACAGTGCCCACCTCCCAGGCTGGCTTTGAGCATCTGGATGAAGATTGTATACAAAACTCCTGGAACTGTGCCCTGCTCTTTGTAGGGCATCAGCTGGCCGCCGCTGCGGTTATTAGTCAGTGCAGGTGCCCTGGGCTGCGCTCCCGGGGGCCCTGGTTTTCTGTGCTAATGAAGTAATTGTCATCAATAGAGGGAGAGGAAACAATCCCAGGCTACTTGGTGAGCAAAGCAGGGAGTCCCCGGGGATGCTAACGGAGCATGTGCGATTGTGCCACGGGCCTGGGTTTGAGTGTTGGGGGCCAGCCTGGTGAACAGCAAGAGCGATCTTAGTGCTGATGGTGATGACGGTGTCAGACGCTCTTCTAAGGGCTTTATATACAGTAGTGTATCTTCACAGCCACTGGGTGACATAAGGTACTCTTGTACCCATTTTATAGATGAGGAAACTGAAGCTCAGAGAGGTTAAGTAAATGGTCCAAGGTAGCACGCTAGTATATGGGGGAACCAGGCTTTAAACCCTGGGTTTCAAACAGGGTTTTTCAACCCTAGAGCTTATATTCTTCCTGCTCCTACTCTTACGTTCTACTTTTTGTCATAACTACCCCACTTGCTAGAGGGAGAGCAGATGTCTAGGACAGGGAGTGGAGTTCATCTGTAACACCACTCTGCTGTGTCTTTTGTGCACAGCTCACGTTGCCTGTCCTGCCTGGAGGTTTGTGTGGTCCTGGCATTCCATGGCAGAGCACAGCAGACCCAGCAAAGACACACTTTGTTCTTTTCTGCCACTCCCTAAATATATAGTTGCCCATATGTGCTTGATTAGTTCTGCTTTATAACAGCGTTTTGAAACAAAATTCACATACCGTAAAAGGTATTGGTTTTGAGTTTGTTCCCAGAAGTGTACAACTGTCACCACTATCTAAGTTTATAACATTTTCATCCCCCCCCCAAAAGAAAGCTCGTGTCCATTAGCAATAACTATTCGTTCTACACCTCCACCTTAGCCCCTGATAATCCGGCTTTCTGTCTCTATGGCTTTGCCTATTCTGAACATCTCATATAAATGGAATGATGTAATATGTGGCTCTGTGTCTGGCTTCTTTCACTTACTGTAATGTTTTGAAGGTTTCATCCAAGTTGTAGCATGTAACAGTACTTTATCCCTTTTCATTTCTGAATAGTATTCCACTGTATGCATGTACCACATGTTGTTCATTCATCATGGGTAGACATTTGGGTTGTTTCCACTTTTTGGCTATTTTTTAAATTAATTAATTAATTAATTATGGCTGCGTTGGGTCTTCGTGGCTGTGCGCGCGCTTTCTCTACTTGTGGTGAGCAGGGGCTACTCTTTGTTGCGGCGCACAGGCTTCTCATTGCAGTGGCTTCTCTTGTTGCGGAGCACGGGCTCCAGGCGTGCGGGCTTCAGTAGCTGTGGCTTGCGGGCTCTAGAGTGCAGGCTCAGTACTTGTGGCGCACGGGCTTAGTTGCTCCGCGGCATGTGGAGCAAGGGACCAGGGCCCAGACATGTGTCCCCTGCCCTGGTGGGTGGATTCTTAACCACTGCTTTTTGGCTATTTTAAATAATGGTGCTGTGAACGTTTGTGTGTGTTTTTGTGTGGACATATGTCTTCACTTCTCTTAGGTGTATATCTAGGAGTAGAATTGCTGCGTCCTGTGATAATTCTTTGTTTAATGTTGTGCTCCGAAGTGGCTGCACCATTTTACATTCTCACCAGCGGTATACAAAGGTTCCAGTGTCTCTACATCCTTACCAACATTTGTTATTGTCTATTTTATTTATTGTGCTTATCTCACTGGGCCTGAAGTGTTTAGCTCCGAAGAATCTGAATTATTACATGTGACCACTAAAGAGAAGGTGGATGCAGCGGTTGTTGCTTCGTGGTTGCCGTCGTAGAAGCAGGAGCAGTAGTGGGTGTGGTGACGTCAGTCTCAGGAGTCACAGACACAGTAATAGGAAAGTAAGAAGACCCAGGTGCCGAATGTGGGCTTTGTTCCAGGGAGCTTGTTGAGTATGTCACATATCGCATCTTTATCGTCACAACAACTCTCTTGTTTATTTTTTATTGAGATATAATTGACGTATAGCAGTATATTGTTGATAGTTTCAGGTGTACCATATGATTGGAGATTTGTATATGTTGGGAAAGCATCACCACAATAAGTCTAGTTACACAACAGCCCTTCCAGGTAGGTGTTATTTCTTCTTTGCAGTTGGCACGAACTGAATTTGACCAAGGTTGC